ACCAAGTGTATTGGGTAAATGTTACCTAATTACTAAATAAAAATGTGTTCTGCACTATCTTTAAAATATTGATTTAATTTTGGGTTGGAAAAGGGGGCATCGTCTTGTACATCAGAGCATCTTATTGATGGAAAAATACGGTAAGTCCTAAAGTAAAAATCCCAACATGCAGTAAATATTAAGGATCAAACTTACTTCAGCTAAAAAAAGTTGTTCAGAAGCAATAGTAATCTTTGAATAGACTGTATTTCAACAAATTAAATTTATCAGCTGATACTTTTGAGATACTTTTTGTGCTGATTATTTTATTAAAGATATCCAAAGCCCTAGAAGCTTTTGTTGTTATTGCTGTTATTGCTGAAATACAATGGGATATATAAGTATTCTAGATCAATCCAAGAAAATCACCTCCTGCCATCACCAGACACTAATTTCTCACACTCAGGTTTATGGCCTGCCAGCTGCTCTTTCTATCCATTCTGCCCACTGTATATTCCCTTACCTGTCTTTTTCTTGGCTTCCTCAACCATTTTTTCACAGTCCCACAGCCAACCCCAACTACAGATGTCTCTGATTTTTCCATGTACAGCTTCCCAGGCCACTTCCCTACCTTCCCAATTATCTCCGGTCACCTTGTAACAAACTGATGGGGCTTTCTCTATCTGCTGTTCCTAGTCTGTTATCCCAGCTCCCAAAATATTTTCATGCTAAATCTGCAGGGAAAAAACAGTTGCTTCTTTCATCCATTCCTCCTTGCCTTCCACCAAAGCTGCAGATTTTTTTTTAACCAGCAGAAACTGCTATATACTATGAAGAAAGAAGAAGAATGTGGCTTTTTTGCAATTTGATTACTTAAAAATATAAAAATAAAATATGCTTAAAATGTTTATTAAAATAAAATAAAATAAAATAAAATAATAAAAAAATAAAAATAAAAAAACATGGCCCTGCCTGTTTTTGGAGGGTGGCCCTTGCTATGTTATGCAACAGCATGCATAGCACTTAGGCTAGTAGAAGTTGTGGCATCTGTGTTTTAGTGTCTTGGAGCAAAATCTTTCACTTTAGCCTACTAAAAACAAACTAACTAGACAACATAACTATATTATTTTTTACTAAAGTAGCAATTCCATTCACACTGGGTAACAATCAACTATTTAAAATGAATTTTAAAAAACTAAAATTGTAAAATGCTAACCTTCATATCAGTTTTATCTTGCTGATATTTATTTCTTTATTAGAATTATGTCAGATCAGCACACACACCTCTCTCCTGCTATATTTCCCCAAAATAACAACCATGAAAGCCAGCTGGGTGACTTTGGGCCAGTCACTCTCAGCCCAACACACCTCACAGGGTTGTTGTTGTGAGGAAAATAAGAGGCAGAGATATTAGGTATGTTTGTCACCTTGAGCTGACCAAAAGATAGACAGATGATGATGATGATGATGATGATGATGATGATGATGATGTCAAACAACAACACCTGCCTACCCCAGGTCCTTGGGAAGGACTAGACAGGTCGATAAAAATGCCAAATCCAGTCTAAACATTCAGCTGACTGTGCGACCAACCATAATAGTAGTAGTAGTAGTAGTAGTAGTAGTAATAATATAGTAATATAACCATTTCACAGTATATATCTGTACTTAAGGTTCTATGGGAAAAAATGAAAAAGCATATATAAAAGATGTAAGAGGGGCCCATATCCAAGAAAAAACACAGTAGTGTTGCTCTGACTTATTATTTATTTGTTTGTCTGTTTATTTTTCTGCCTGTTCTCCAGGAGTTCAGGGTAGTGTATACTGAACTCCATTCTCAGGTTTTTCTCCACAACTCTGTGTAGTAGGTTGGACCAAGGGAATATGACTATCCAAAGTAACCCAAAGAGCTGGGATATAAGTGAAGGGTGATTAAGGGGCACTTAATTAATGATTCAAGTCACTCATGATAGATGAATTATATCCCATAGTCCTGAAAGTTTATGATACTGGAGATAGACAAATGTTCCCATGTTCAAGGTGAAACAAACACATCTAGAAAACTATAGTGTAGTCAAACTAATATTTGTTTACTTATTTATTTATTTAATTCAATTTGTATAGCCGCCCATCTCAAACCAGTGACTCTGGGTGGCGTTAATATCAGGAAAAATTCTAGATTATGCAGCTGGTTTGAATATATAATAAATATATTAATAAGAGCAAGCATAGGTTCATCAAGCTTACAAAATTCACAGTGCAGTGAATATTGGGAATGTGGAGCACATTGATTCTGAGGTTTCCTATTATATTCTTGCTGATTAGATGGGGAAAAAGGGTTGGAGGCCATTACTGTTAGATGGATCCATAGGTAATTAAACAGCTAAATGCACAAGAAGTCATTACTGGCCGTGGTTCAACCTTGAAGGAGATTTTGATGAAAAGATACAGGGTGTTTATCAAATTTGAAACAACACAAGTGAAGGAATAGGTAATATCAAAGATGACAAAAACAGTTCTCTGTATTAAAACCCTACGTTTAAAACAATAAGTCTAAAAAATCATCATCATCATCATCATCACCATGAATATAGGATATGGGAAAACTTGATGAGCTATCAGCAATTGTAAAAAAAGATGCAAACATCTGAATAAATTGTTAGCTGAATGTGAGTTAGTAGTGTGATGCACTGGCTTATAATTAAATCAATGTTTAAATTGGGTTAACAGAAACGTAGCAAACATACAGTAAAATAAAGTGTTTTTCTCTACTTTAACAAGTTAGGTTGCATGTTAAGAATTTTGTTTAGTTTTTAACTTCAAATTTTAAGCAAAACTTGGATAATCTGAACCTACTTCCAAAGAAGATGAACTAGAATGACAACAAAATAAAAACTAAATCCTAAGAGGACTGGTTTAAAGAACTGGGTAGTGGCAAAGATCTTCTCTTAATAGTAAATGCAGAGCATGTAGAAGAAGGGTAAGAACTGTTTTCTCTTCATACATGCAACAGCACTATGTTAAAACTGCAGAGAAGCAGGTGTCAGATGACCTGTATGAGAAATTTCCTAATGGTATGAGTTGTTTCAAGTGAAACAGACTACTTTAAGATGTAATGGGGTCTCCTTTACTGAAGTTATTTAAGCAATGGCCAAATATCAAAGACCCTACAGCTGCATCTTGTACTGTGGAACCTGACTTGACCTGGAAGTTGGAATATATGATGTGTAGGCACTAGTCACATGACATTCTTAACTGGGTTGGGAGTGATGTACAGTGGGGCAAAAAAGTATTTAGTCAGCCACCAATTGTGCAAGTTCTCCCACTTAAAAAGATGAGAGAGGCCTGTAATTTTCATCATAGGTATACCTCAACTATGAGAGACAAAATGGGGAAAAAAATCCAGAAAATCACATTGTCTGATTTTTAAAGAATTTATTTGCAAATCATGGTGGAAAATAAGTATTTGATCAATGATTTTCTGGATTTTTTTTCTCATTTTGTCTCTCATAGTTGAGGTATACCTATGATGAAAATTACAGGCCTCTCTCATCTTTTTAAGTGGGAGAACTTGCACAATTGAGTTCTCCCACTTAAAAAGATGAGAGAGGCCTGTAATTTTCATCATAGGTATACCTCAACTATGAGAGACAAAATGGGGAAAAAAATCCAGAAAATCACATTGTCTGATTTTTAAAGAATTTATTTGCAAATCATGGTGGAAAATAAGTATTTGATCAATGATTTTCTGGATTTTTTTTCTCATTTTGTCTCTCATAGTTGAGGTATACCTATGATGAAAATTACAGGCCTCTCTCATCTTTTTAAGTGGGAGAACTTGCACAATTGAGTTCTCCCACTTAAAAAGATGAGAGAGGCCTGTAATTTTCATCATAGGTATACCTCAACTATGAGAGACAAAATGGGGAAAAAAATCCAGAAAATCACATTGTCTGATTTTTAAAGAATTTATTTGCAAATCATGGTGGAAAATAAGTATTTGATCAATGATTTTCTGGATTTTTTTTCTCATTTTGTCTCTCATAGTTGAGGTATACCTATGATGAAAATTACAGGCCTCTCTCATCTTTTTAAGTGGGAGAACTTGCACAATTGAGTTCTCCCACTTAAAAAGATGAGAGAGGCCTGTAATTTTCATCATAGGTATACCTCAACTATGAGAGACAAAATGGGGAAAAAAATCCAGAAAATCACATTGTCTGATTTTTAAAGAATTTATTTGCAAATCATGGTGGAAAATAAGTATTTGATCAATGATTTTCTGGATTTTTTTTCTCATTTTGTCTCTCATAGTTGAGGTATACCTATGATGAAAATTACAGGCCTCTCTCATCTTTTTAAGTGGGAGAACTTGCACAATTGGTGGCTGACTAAATACTTTTTGCCCCACTGTATTTGCAAATACCCTAAGTATTTCCTAATAGCACTGAGCTAGAAGGGTTAACTTTAACCTCAGTGTTAACCCTCCTTGCTGCTGATAAAGAAAAGAAATGTTGGGTGGTTCTACAAAAATGGGGCATTTCCAGAAATTCTTGTCTCTAAGTTAGTTTTATAACCTTACTGTGTAATCATGGGGTAGGAAGGAACAATAATGGGTAGAAACAGGATCCCCACTCTTAAGTTAATTCAAACTTCATTCTGTCAGAGGGCAATCAACCATTTGATACGGTTTTAATCTTAGTCCCCAATAAAATGACAGCATAGGTACTATAGACTGGAACCACACCAAGCAGGAGATTGCCCTTTGACAGAATGAAGTTATTATAACCTCTTCTTTTAATTTCAACTTGGCACCTTTTTCTCCTCCCCTTCCAATAGCTTAATGGAAACCCTGCTTTGCATTTCTCACACTTAGTGCTAGGTTTTACTTACATGTTGATATTCTCAGCACTCCTACTTTGGGAAACGGTATCATATCTCCCACACCAGCCCTAAATAGATTACCATGTTTTCTTAAATAAATGTAGGATATCATAACTCCTAGCATCCTTTGTGGTGGATGAGAAACTAATTAACTGGGCCATCAGCAATTATGTACACCTGCTACATAAGGTTTAATCAATTGCCTGACAACTACTATATATGGACTCAGGGAGCAACATTTTGCCTGCTTTGGAATACAGATCAAGAAAAAAGTATGGCTATTAGCAATCTATACACCATACCACACAGCAAACATCTGAATATAGTTCTCCACATGTTCCATAAGTTATCACACTGGGAACTGGTAGTTCCTACATCATCTCTCATAGGTAAAAGATTAAGACACCTAAAGTGAAATTATATATAAACTGAGACTCATTGAATGAAATGAATAGAATAACATATGAAAGAATCACAATAGCAGTGAAGCTGTTCCGTCTTAAAATAGCAGAACAAACTTTAAACTGATAAACATGATTTCTACCACAGTTGTTTTTACTTTCTACCCGGGCTGGAGCCAATATTGTAAATAATAACATTTCCTTCATGATTAGTGAAATTACCAGCTACCATAGAATATAACTTTGTTTAATGTTTAATATTAAGTTTAAATGATACAATTGATACTATATTCTTTCATGGAAGAAAAACCATACCTATCTGGATATTTTTAAATGGACACTATTAATCAGATACTTTTAGCAAGAATATTAATATTACAACTTGTACCCTAGCCCTGCAAAGTATTTGCAATTTTTTCTTTTAGTTTATTAAACAAAATCTCAACGGCCATTCAAAAATAATGATTCTAGGAGAAACACAAATGTTGCTTTGGCAAGTAACTGTTCTAAGTGAATTTATTGTTTAATGTATTACACATGACATGCATTTTGAAACATCATGAATATGGAAAAAGAAATATTCTCAGGTTATTGTGGAGAGCATTCCAAAATTCAGCTTTGTGATTTATTTAAATAAAATGAGGTCTATGAAAGTATTTTATTCCAAACAACTGCTCTTAAAGTTGCACTACAGGTAGTCCTTACTTAACGACCATTCGCTTAACAACAGTCCGAAGTAACGATGGCCTTGGAAAAAGTGCTTTATGACCTGTACTTGCACTTACAACCATTGCACCATCCCCATAGTCATGTGATTGCAATTCAGGCACTTGCAAACTGGCTCGCGTTTACTGCTGGTTACAGCGTCCTGTGGTCACGTAATTGCGATTTGCAACCTTTTTTGCCAGTTTCGGACAAAAACGTCCATTCAGGAAGCTGGATGCACTTAACGACTATGTGATTTGCTTAATGACTGTGGTGATTCGCTTTACAACCATCGTAAAAATGGTCTAAAATCGGGTCCAGTTATGTGGTGACTTGCTTAATGTCCACACCACTTAACAACCAATTTTCTAGTCCCTATTGTGGTCATTAAGCAAGGACTACCTGTATTAATACTTTATGACTGAGTAAGTAACTCCATAAATAAGAGTTGTGGTTAATATTTTTTATTTCATAATCACACGTGAGGTAAAGAATTATTTCTAAACATAACTTGCAATTTCATTTCTGAAAAGAAATCAACACAACGAGTAATACCATTTTTTTATTATTTAACAGTATAAAAAGAGTATGACTAATTCATATGGGAGAGCCAGTCTGGTGCAGTGGTTAAGGCATCAGGCTAGAAACCAGGAGAATGAATGAATTCTAGCCCTACCTTTGCTACAAGGCCAGCAGGGTGACCTTGGGCCAGTCACTCTCTCTTAGCTCTAGGAAGCAGGCAATGGCATGCCACTTCCAAAAAACCTTGCCAAAAAAACTGCAGGGACTTGTCTAGGCAGTTACCAGGAGTCAACACTGACTTGGAGCCCCCTCCCCCAAAATTCTATGGACAATGTAATTTTTTTAAATTAAAGCATTGGGGTAGGGGAAGGTGGTAAATGCTAACAGTGGAGAATTACCCAAAAACTCTTATTTATTTATTTATTTATGTATTTATTTATGTATTTATTTATACACATTTAAGGAATAAAATAAATGACTATGTAAAAGAAAACAAAAGAAAGCAAGAAAGGACATAGTGGATGGAAAATAAAATATCAGTAAATAAACAGAATTTACGATTGTCATAAAACTGAAAATTCATTTTGTTTTTGATTAAATAATTGTATACACAATACTTAACTCATTATATCATCTTGAGAAATAATTGTAAATCTCTGCAAAACTCTAAACATTAATATGCATATTGATGTCACCACTATTTATCATTATCTAAAACATATGCACATGATCTTATAAAAAAAGAAACATAAAAAATAAATACTAAAAACAGTGAGTAAAAAACAGTATTAAGTTCTAGATTCCCCCCATTGCATCCAACAGGTGATTACATCAAATCATTTATAAACATTGCTTCTGGTTACTACCTTTACATCAAATAGTTCCCCCATAAAAACCATACTTAAGTATTTGAGTTTGCCTTGTTGTATGACATGTAATGCAGAAAATTATAAAAAGCTTCTTATAGTCTACAATTCATCTTTTAGACTTTTTCTGGTAATGATTAATTAGTCAAAGTAAACAAGCTCTTCTACCAAAAGCAAACAGAAAAATGTATGTCAAAATAACTACTGTATGTTGCAAAGTGTTGTTTACCCACCAAGAAGATGCTTGGGGATATTTGAAACTAGATCCGAATCAAATTGTTCTACTTTCAACTTAAAAATTCAACACATGTTTATATAACTTGAAAATTAAGGGATGATGTACACAAGCATTTCTGAAGGAAGATAACCTGTAATTCTTCATATGCTGCTGAACTACAGCTCCCAGTGGTTTTCAGCACCAGCTGCTATTACTTGGGTAGTTGGTAGTTGTTTTCCATCAACATATGAATCACCATTGGTTTCACAACTCTGCCTAGATTAGCAAAGTAATGCAACAAGGATATTTGACTGTTAGAATTTAACTGAGTATGAGATGTTAAAAACAGTTGTAGCGTACCTGATAGATATCAGATAGACTGCTACTGCCAGAATCACTAGTGATGCTACATCCTGAATGACTAGATGAAACGTGGGTCACCTGTGGGTGGAGACTGTCAGTGAGGTGCAGTTTTGTAAAATCTGCAGGTAGCTGTAGATAGAACGAGAAAATATATATTCAGGTTTTATGTAACGGCAAAGATTTCATAAAGATTTCAATACTTCACAGTACACTTTTTTTTTTGCTACTTCCAAGACGTGAACAAATTATTAATCATACTCCTAGTTTAAGGACATTGGGAAGAAAGATTAAAAGGCAATGCTTCATCTTGGTAGGTGAAAACTTTTAAACATTCATTATGCTTAAAAAGCAACAGCCTTTGATATTTTTCAAAGAAAGGCATATGCATATCTAAAACAGACCTTTCAATGTGCACTTACTCAGCAGTCATTTCTACTGAAATCATAAACAGCTTTAGAATCAGTAGTAGTTATCATGAGTGTAGTGAGGATTGTAAGTACTGATTTCTATGAGTGGAACATCTGTTAATTTTTAAATATAAATGCTTTGTACAAAACAGGACTAGAAATAATATTTCAGTTACTGGAATAAGTTTCTAGTCTTTCTGATGGCTTAGGACTACAGAAAACAATTATAAGCATAGTAATCCCTCAGTTTATCAGGGAAAGGCTATGTGTTACATATGAATGTCCTCTAAATCCAAATTTACATCAGATCAATTTACAGTGTTTAATGACATCATTACACAAAAGATATAAATTGACACAATTTGTCCAAATTACTTCAGAAGTCCATAAAATAGAATTTTTCTGTTACTTGGAAAGATATTAAAAGGAAATTTTTGTCTGTTACATCTAAAGTCTTGGCTGAGGTCCTTTACATTGGTGGCTTACTGTAGTAAGGTTTTAGACTTGGCAATGCTTTTATATGTGTATCTCATATATAGCATATTAGTAAATGATATTTAACAAAGTGTGGAATTTTTATTTGTTGTTAAAGAAGAGTACACAATCTACAAATTCTCTGAACCATTGTTTTGGAAGGATGTACACTATTTTTATAAGTTGCAGGCTGGTGTAACATATAATAAAATGTTTCCTTTAGGCTCTAATGGGAACAATAATGATCTTTTATACTCAATAACAATAACAATTTTTCAAAAATCATACATCTGAAAATTTACTGGCCACCAAGTATGTGCAAATTTATTGAGAATACTGATATACATTTTTTTCCCGAATTTCTGGAAATCTTTGCTAGTTATAATTTCCAAAAGTACCAGCAACTTTGACCATCTTTTTGACACACAAAAAAGTATTTTTTTGTCTCCTTTCAATCTGCTTCTCTAAACACGTTTTATTTTGGAACTGAACCAAGCATGGAAATAAATAACTAGACCACAAGTATTGAACAAAAGTAGATGGAAGAAGACTTAGATTGACTCAACTGAACTATCCCCAGTTTAAGTCTTCAAAGAGCTGAAGGACATGTTCAAAGAGCAACACAGATATTTCCATAGCTGAGCCTGAAGAAATTCAGTTGGTATTGATAATAGTAGTGGTTCCCTTGTACTTTCTTATCTTTGGTTTGCATGTGTTGACCTAATAAATATACCTTATAACTTATCTTCTATACCACCCTATTTAGTTTTGTACAGTTCTGTAACTTATGGTATTATAGTCATACAGTGTATATTTAAATATATTCTACTACCCTCACATAATTACATAGATACAACACTTCACAGGTGATAAGTTGAGATGTTTTTCACCATTTATAATTTATATAGTTCTCAGTACAGATTTCCCTTGCTTTATGTAAATTCACTTTATGCAAATTTCTAATTATGCAGCTGAACATATTTGTCCAAAAATTCACTTTATGCATGCCATAACCTCTCACCAAAACCACTTGAACTTTTTCTGCCAAAATGTTTTTCAACCCTCACTCACACATTTACCATTATGCCGTACAGTTCTTCTAGTGTACATTTTGTCTCCCACTTACTCCCATACTGCAATAACTACTACTGTTACTATGTTCAACTCCCTTACCCAAAATGAAAAGGAAAAGAACACTAGAAATAAAGGTGGGTGTATTACGGTGGGTGTATTACATCATGCTGAAGCTGGTAAAGGATCACAAAATTACTTTTTCGTCACCATCGTAACTGTGGTTGCTGTACGAGGCAGTCGCTAAATGAGGATTACCTGGATAGAGATGGCATAATGTTGTACTATCTAAATGTAACAAAAATGATTAAATAAGCAGTACAGCCACTATGACTTTGCAAGTGGGAAAGATGGAGTAAGACTAATTAGTTTTAACATTAGCAACAGGATTTGAATAAACTGCATACAAACTTTCCCACCTGCTTTAGAGATACTCTTTTTTTTTTTACATTTAGGACTCTTATCTCCCCTACATATGTCTCTACCAAAGATTAATCCTAAAATAATGTATTTAAATATAAAGAATAGCAATATGATACAGTGCTGTATACATAAAATGTATGCATAACATATCTGGGAGTGTGGAAGGAAAGACTCAAGGTTGCAGACATGAGTTTTCCTTCCTTATGGATTGTGCCCCTGGAATTTTAAGAGAGCAAGGGACCATACCTGTACTGCAGGGAGATAGAAGAGAATCACTAAAGGCACAGGGTGAAAGAGGAAAAGGGGATTGTGTCAGAGAACTAAAGCAGCCAGTGGTGTGAAGAGGGGGTGGGACAAAAACAGTTGGTGGAGTGAACAAAGACACTTGGAAACTACTGCAGCTGAGAAAGGAGTAGCAAAGTCTTACAGCCTCATGAACATTCCAGAGACACAGACCAGCTACAGCCAGCAACTACTTTCTCCATCCTACAGACTGATAAGGACTAAGAGCCAGAAAAGCAACTCAGTATAAGGGAACAATTACAAGGCTACTTCAAACTTCAGCAGCACCTACTGAAGTATAAGGACTGGAAAGTAGAGGATAATGTAAGGCTAAGTGTAAAGTAAAAGGACATTAAGCCCTGAATAAAAGGAACACAATTCCAAGTCCTTAAAGGTGAGGGCTAGGGAAAGAACTGTGGCAATACTGCCTTTGTTGCTGGAAAAGGTGAGCAGTTAAAGAAACACAGGGAAAAAGAAAAACATACCTTTGTTAAACATTGTCACTTTTTACTATTTTTATTTATTTATTTAATTTTTTTTTTAGCAGCCCATCTCAACCAAGTGCCTCTGGGTGCAAACAATCATAAAAACAATTAACACAATTACAATACATTACAAAATAAATATATATGGCAGCTGGGAAAATTATCCCATAATTATCAGCATAGCCAGGAAACGGGGCCCTTACACATTCTGGGCCCTAGGCCCAGGCACATAACTAGGTCTTTAGGGCCTTATGAAAGGCCAACAAGGTCAGGGTTATCCCTCCCAACATCTCTGAAGGGAGAATGTTCCAGAGGGCAGGTGCTATGGCAGAGAAGGCACATCTCCTGGTTGCCGCCAGCCGACATTCCTTAGCTGACAAGACCCACAACAAGCCCAACCTGCCAGACTGAATTGCATGGGTAGAAACTACTGGGAGAAGATGGTCCCTTAGGTAACCCGTCCGCAAGCCATGAAGGGCTTTAAAGGTGACAACCAGCACTTGAATTGCACCTGGAAACACAGTGGCAACCAATGCAGCTCACACAGTAGTGGTGTTACACATATCGCATATCCAACACCATTTACTACCCGTGCAGCCACATTCTGTACCAGTTGAAGCTTCCAAATGCTCTTCAAGGACAGCCTCATGTAAAGCACGTTGCAGTAGTTCAGATGAGAGGTCATGAGGGCATGATGGACTGTGAGCAAAGCCTCCCAGTCCAGGAATGGACGCAACTGGCGTACAACCTGAAGGTGTGCTAAGGCCCTCCTAGCCATGGCTGCCACCTGCTCTTCCAGCAGGAGCTGTGAGTCCAAGAGGACCCCCAGATTATGCACTGGGTCCATCTGGGGCAGTGCTACCCCATCCAGGACCAAAGATGGAAGAGCTTGAGAATCAAAAGGCCCAAATACCCAGGGCTACTCCATCTTGCCTGGGTTGAGTCAAAGCCTATTACTCCCCATCCAGGCCCCACAGAATCCAGGCTTTAGGACAGGACATCCACAGCATCACTCAGAGGGCCCAGGGTGGAGATATAAAGCTGGGTATCATCAGCATACTGATGGTATCTCACACCAAACAGTTGGATCACCTCACCCAGCGGCTTCATGTAAATAGGAGAGGAGAGCGAACCGAGCCCTGGGGCGCCCCACAAAGTAGTGATTGCGGGCTGGATCTCTCCCCCGCATCAACACCAACTGGAACCAACCCCAGAGGAAGGAGGAGAGCCAGTGCAACACAGTGCTGCTAACCGAAGCCAATCCAGAAGGTTATCATGATCGATGGTATCAAATGCCACTGAGAAGTCAAGAAGAGGAAGGATAGATGCACTACCCCCATCCTGCTCCTGCCCAAGGTCAACCAAGAGCGCAATGAATGCTGTCTCAGTTCCAAACCCCTGTCTGAACCCTGACTGAAAGGGGTCCAGATAATCTGCTTTATCTAGGGTCTTTTGAAGCTGCCACGTGACCACTTTCTCCACCACTTTTTCTAAAAAGGGGAGGTTGGAAACTGGATGAACTGTCCAGGTTGGTTGAGTCAAGTGATGGCCCCTTGAGGAGGGGAGCACCCCTGCGGCCTTAAGAGCTGGTAGAACCACCCCCTCTTTCAAAGAGGAATTAACTACCACCCAGCCCCAATTACGCGTCCCGTTCTACACAGCCTTAACTAGCCAGGAAGGGCATGGATCTAACACAGAAGCAGCCAAGCTAGCAGCCACAAGGGTCCTGTCCACTTTCTCAGGTTCAACAAGACTGAACTCCTCCCAGATAACCTTACAGGACTCAGCCCCCGTAACTTCCACTGGTTCTGCACTAAGGCCATAGTCCAGTGTAGAGGAAATATGAGTGAATTTATCCTCTAGATGTACAGCATATTCCTCATAGCAACCCTATAGGTGAATCTCAGTATTACTCTCTCTGAGGATGGTCTGGGTCAGCTGAAACAGAGCCACTGGGTGGCTACCTGTGGACACAATAATGGTGGAG